GAGTGGATGCAGAGATAAAAGCCCCCGACACGAAGGGAAGAGCCACACAGAGATGATGATACCTTTATTATGAAGGGGAGTCCACACACTCGATCAAAGTACGCTGAAAGGTCGCAGCCCCGTTGAAGGCGGGGCTGGGATCCATCTTCCGCATAAGGAGGAGGAGAGGGAGAGACAGAGCAATGACATGCTGAGGACATATGGCAGACACCTATGACATTTAATATCTGTTTAAGTGTGCAGTAGATTTGGAATAAACACTGCGGCTGCTGCCTCCTTTGGGTATTTGGTTTGTGTGACTTTGTAACTAATAAAAACAAAGGCAAACTAAGACAAACCATCTCTGCAGAGATAGATGAACCACTTTGTCAATGGAGTCTGGGGGCTTTAAAGAAAGTAACAACACACAAATACTTATGCTCCATCAGTTATCATTGGCAAGATATTTCATATTCAACTATTTTTCCGTACGTTTGATTCCTAAAATGCAGAAGTGACTTCATCGAAGCCCTCGCGCTGGCAGAATAACAATCTGGGGGCAAAATACAGAATTAATAACATGCCTTATTCATCAAAAATATAAAAGTTATGCCTCAAATATATTGGAATCCGCCCATAAAATGTGTTCTAAAATGAGAGCCAAGCTACCTCCTAATAAAACACCGGGACATGACCTCAGTAAACGTGGTCCTGCTCACACATCTGCTGCCTCTATTACGGCTTTCCCTTATTCTTTGTTTATATGGTTTAATCATCAGACATTCATCACATTAAAATACCAACACCTGCACCGCCCTTGTGTTTTATAGTCGAATACTGTGGACTTAAAGTATTGATTAAACTAAAATAAACAAGCCACTTTAAAAATGCGCTGCTTGCTTGCAGTTACGGTCCCTTAGGGCTCACTGGAGTTGTTGTGTGATATCACTGTAATAAAGATCTTCAGACTTCACGAAAAACATCAGCACCGGTCCTTTAATAATGAGCTGTGTTTGTAGTTAAAAAAAGAGAAGAAAGTGAATGCAACACTGTGCTCTCTGCTCAAGGACTAACTGCTGGAAAGGTTGCAAGAATAGTGAAATCATCATCATCATCATCCTCATCATCCTCCTCATGGTTTTATTTTAGATTTAATCCACGGAATCCACAGGTACTTTTGCAAGCCTGAAAAATCATTTTCAATAATGTATAATTCAACCTTTGGATCACGTGAAAACCTTCAAAGGTGTCAACATGAGTGCTGGGATGAGATCAAATGAGCTCAACCTGGTGTAAAAATAGCACGGCCGACAGCTTTGTGTCAGGGGGGGAAGAAGGGAAACCGAGGCAGCACCAGGAGAGAGATTAGTCCAGGTGAAAGGAGAGCACAACCTTTTTATTTAAAGAAAAACAAAACGATGTGTGAGTCTGTGCAATGCAGAGGGGAAGTTCAACACTCATTACCTCGGTAACAACCCTCTTTGTGAAATTATGCTTTTTACTAATTACGTATTTTACGATGTTTAACAGCTGAGTGATTATCTGCACGTTGTTAGTCGCAGCCATAAACCCAACAGAAAGCTAAAACTAATAATATGAGGAGCACTGTTATGCAATAGTGTCTGTGCACCAAATACAACAAACTGGTGTGTTTGGATACGCTGATCTGATACTGACCTTCATTAAAAACACATGAGATACAGTCCATTTGTTAAGATTAAACATGGTCTGTGGTGATGACACGCATGCTCCTCTGGATGCTCCGTCAATTGAGCTTGATGTGTCTGAGGAGGGCCGTGCCCCTTTAAGGCGTGAGACTCGGCGCGCTCAAGGGGAGGGTAGGAAGTCACAAAGGTGACGTCAACACACTGAAACAGTGTTTAAATAAACATGAGATGTGATTTACACCTTTGAGACCACGAGCGTGATCTCTGTGTGTGTGTGTGTGTGTGTGTGTGTGTGTGTGTACACACAAAAGCATTTGCATATTGGAGTCCGATTATTCCGTCCCACAGCCCGAGTCCCTCTCTACACTCGTGCTCCCACCCCACAAGTGGGATTTTAGAAAAAGCGATGAGATGAAGCGAGGGGGGGGGGGGATCTCTGCAGGCCCCTCCCCCACAGTGCCTAAATGCGTTTTCCTCTCCACACTGATCACTGATCTGTGATCAAATATTTACCACGGTTGCAGAGACAACATTGATGAAGTGAACAGAATGAAAAAGAAAGATGTCTGATCCGCAGAGGTTTCAGACGGCGTGTTACTGCTGCATCTGGACCTGGTTCCAAAGTGATTCATGAACATTGCGACCTCGAGGGGTTTCAAATGCTGACACTGGGCTTTTTCTAGCCGACCTGTCTTGTCCTTGTCAGACCGACCACCCCCTCCTCAACCCCCCTCATCTCACCAACCCGGCACTCTAAAACTGCCTCCTCCCTCTCTGAATAATATGCAAATGCTTGAAAGTAGGTTACAGACATCCTCTTGTGTTTGCTCCTCACCCGTCTCCGCGCTGGGATTTGGGGAAGAAGGAAAAGAAAGATACATCCTCTGGCCTCCTGCTTCTCTCATTCTGCACACGAGCAAACACTTGACCATTTGGTTTCCTCGCGGCCTCACGGACCGTGGCCGTGTATCGGAGTGAGGCTGGATCGGCCAGTTGAGGTCAGACCTCTGAAGTTGTTTGCCCAATTAAGCTTCACATCGCTCATGTCCGCTACTCAAACCAAAAGTCCACGCTGACCTACTTGACCTTTTGTTACCACCACTTTACTTTCTGGTTGTACGTCACAAACGCTCTTATTTGAAACCAAACCACAAGGTGGTCACTCAGCCTCAGAGATCAGCGTGAGTAAAGCTGATCATTTTCATAGACAGAAGATGAATGGAAGGAGCAGACATGTGTGAGTGGATACATGCTGATGGAGCCATTTGTAATCTTTTAAATGACTGTACATGTCTGTATTTCTGCTGTGATGTTATCAATGAAAATACAAAATATAGAGCACACAGTGTCTAAATCATTGTGTGTGTTTTTTAATGTAGCCATGCTTCTGTGATACATACTATTAGAGTCAGGAGAGTAAAGAGAGGTCTAAAAAAAGGTTCAAGAAGATAAGAAAAGGTCATGAAGACATCAGGACTGAATCTCTTCTCAAGACCAGTTATAGCTCTGCTATTATTCTAAGACATCATAATGTCTTCAAATATATCTTCATATGTTCTAGAATAATCTTGTTAATTGTAGTTTTTGATGACAAACTTGAATGAATCAAATAGCTTTGTATTTTCACATTAATATAGAACACAGGTTGGAAATTCATTTTGATCTTTTCATTTTCCTTTGACGCGCTTCATACAAATTACAAGACGACAAACAAAAAACCTGGGAAAGAAGGTTTCTACTCTTGCTCTTGATTTGTAAAACACAAAAAACTAAATATTAAAATAAATATATATTAAAATAGGGCGGCACGGTGGCGTGGTGGTTAGCACTGTCGCCTCACAGCAAGAAGGTCCTGGGTTCGATTCCGCCCAGTGGCCTTTCTGTGTGGAGTCTGCATGTTCTCCCCGTGTCTGCGTGGGTTCTCTCCGGGTTCTCCGGCTTCCTCCCACAGTCCAAAGACATGCTCTGGGGATCAGGTTGATTGGGGACTTTAAATTGCCGGTAGATGTGTGAATGGTTGTATGTCTTTGTGTGGGATTGCTGCGATTGGCTGGCAATCCAGGATGTACTCTCTCTCATCTCCTGAAGTTGGCTGGGATGGACTCCAGCCCCCGTGACCCTGTGCAGATGGGTGGATAAATTAGTTGGATAAAGTTTTTAATTACGTACTTGAAAATGTAAAATCACATTTTATTTAAAAGTCTATATAATATATATATATAATTTCCCTTACTTTAGATCACTGATATGTCATCATATCATCTTTTATTATTCTAATGAATCCATACACCGTATGTGATATCTGATTTGATGAGACTGAATGTCAAAATATTCACAAAACAAAAAAGGAGAGTGAAATCATAACGTACGGAAGACATTTGGGACAAAATGATACACATTCTGCGTACAGCTCAGATCTTGAATAAATTCTACATTTTAGAATATTGTTGAAATACGTGAGTTAATAACGGTCCAGTGGAACAGCAGTAACTTGATGATGACCTTATGCAAGCAGCTTTAACTCATAATTCATGCATACATTCTAAATGTTTCATTTGTTGAAGTATGACATTGTATGGTGCCTTTTGTTAAAAAATCACACACAATACATTTTTTAAAATAATGATATATAAGTCCAGTTATCATAATTCTTAATAAATGCTGGTCATTCACTGACCTGTTTTATAATTGTAGTATATCTACCACAATTGTAATATAATCCTCTCATAGTGCATTATAAACAATGGTTGAATGTGATTATTAGGTGAGCTGATTATTAGTCGCTACAAGTGCTCACTATTTGCCTTTGTGTTATGCTTTAATATTTGCTCTCACTATTGTAATGGAGCCAGATAGATATTAATGAGTGCTTTCACAGATTGTCTGCATGCATACAGTGTTCCCTCTTGGCTCTTGTTGTTGGAACAGAGACACACGGCTCCCCTCTCTCCCCCCACTTGGCTCAGTGTATGTAAGAACCCCAGCCAGTCGGGGCTGGAGAGCTTCCCAGTGCCTTTGTACACCTGGTTCCCACCTGACCTCTGACCTTCTCCTCACAGAGAGCTAACAGTGGAACCATGTTGGGCCCTCTAGGAATGTCTTCGTCTAATTTCCACTGTCTCAATTCAATGAAAGGATGCCGGGCTTTTAATCTGGAGCCCCACTTTCGGATCACGTGACCGCCTCGTCTCCGTCTCGAGTCAGCGGGATCTGCTTCTCATACCCGTTCAGCTGAGCCACCGAGAGAAGAGGGGAGGAGAGGGAGGAGTACGGTACAGCGGCTCCACCTGCAGGCCGCGTGTGTAACCTTCCCACTGCATTCATCACAATAACAGCACCGTTTCTGTATTTCAGAGCCTCATCTTGCCGAAGGCATTCCCAGAAGAAGACATCCACCAGGTGGGTAGACTCTGCAGGAATACCTCTCTTTCAATGGCACTCTTTATGGTGGAGATGATGATGGCAGCAGAGGAGACGTTTAGGCTACCTCCAGAACCACATGACCCTACATCTCCAATTTATGCTTGCATCGCCCACCTCATACACGTCCACTTCTTTCAGACTCATGTCATCAAGTTTAGGGGGTTTCCCTTATGGATGTGCCACCGAGCCCAAGCTGAGAAGATGCTGATGACATCATTATGACCTCGTGTGGGTCACTACCTCAGACAGAAGAAGACAGCTTTTGCTACCTAAAAAAGACCTTCTGTCATGTTAGTGTGGAGCACGACACAGGCTGGGCCAGGAGTAGTTCACGGTGGCTTGCTTCACATCACCAATGGCTGATGGGATGTTGGAAACAAAAGGAGAGGAAACACAGCCTGCCACTTGGATGGAGAGGAGGCATAACATACAACTTCTTATGTCAGTTCTGATAAAATCATGAGACACATAAAGATTGACAGTCGGCAGACGTCAAGCCAGCAGACCTCTGTTCATGTCCCCTGGAATATAACTGTGCTCATGTAACTCCACTTTTGTTCTTATTTGAACCAAAAACAACCAGATGTCCTAAATCCAACCAGGTAGTGTTGTCTCCGAAACTCTGTGCAGACGAACATGTGATAAAATCTCCTCATATTTTATACGAGGTTATGTGACCACGTGAAACACAGCTGGGACTGAATTGTATGGACTAACATATGATTTTGTTATTCCTCACATCAAACCCGTTTCCACTGTCTCCATAACTACTACCACTAGAGGTCGCCAAGTCCAAGCTAAAGGAATCGACTCAGACTCGAGGACACTCTTTGCCTCACTAGTTTTACATATTCTTAAACGCTAGGGACTTAATATCAGTGGACATCCTCCTTTAGGGAAACTATCTGGCCGGCTGTGTTTGATAAATAACCCAGGTAATCTTGAGAAGTCGGGTACCGTGGTGTAAAGTCGGAGGAACTTCCTTCCCCTGGACCTCAGCTTCTATCGCCAGGTTCTGCTTCAAAGGGTCAACCCGTCCCATAGATGTATACACGCAGGTGTCATATGGGTGTACGAGAGGTCATCAATGATCGGGAACAAATGGTTGAAATGATCCAACATGTGGGCTCTCACAGCTGCTTTATTCTAGATCAGGGATTGCCAAAGTGTGGTGCTTGCTTGAGCAGCTGCTAGGGGGAAAAATGTATTTGTGGTCCAATGATGCAATAATTTATATTAAATATGATTTTGTTTTTAAATAAGTGGGTTTTTGTACAACAAAAAACATGCAAAAACATGCATTATAAACATTTCTTTTGTAAGATTTAAAAAAAAAAAAAAAAAATGCACTTCAGCTCCTGCCACCAGACTTTCTTCTATGTACGCACTAGCTAACGTTAGCATAGTTTGTTCAGCTAACCGCTAACTTAATTTACTCTAAATGTACACACATTCATACAAATATGCTAAACTGGCTAAAATCGGGGAAACTGTCTGGTGGGACATCTGAAGCTAGAAGAGACAGAGACAGAGTGAGTGAATCGGAGGCAAAGGAAACGGAGAGGTACGTGGGGAGAAATCAAGTGGGAGTCCGATAAAGATGAGCCGAAGGAGACCGAAAAGGAGGAAGGGATAGCAAAGACAAATGAGGAGCACACAGTCTCATCTCAGAGTGGAAAAATTAGGAAACGAAAGTAAGACACGGAAAAGTAATATGATGAAAATGATTTGGCTCTGGGCTTCACTTGGATTGGCAATGCAGATTGTCCAAAGCCGCAGTGTGTGGTGTGTAGTCAGGTTCTGGCTAACAGCTGTCTGAAGTTGCCTGAAAACATGATCCCGGTTTCAAACAACACCGCATTGATGCTTTGTCCAAAGACATCCAGAGTACAATCATCGGTCGCGAAAAAAAGAGTGAGTTTTACTTTCTGAAACTCTACAGATGTGAACGATCTGGCCAATCTGGTGTACGTCCATTGTCTTTTCAAAGGCGCGGTGCAGGAAGACCTTTTGTTCTGTCGGCTCCTTGCTACCAAAACAACAGGATAAGAAATCTTTCATTTAATTGACGTCTTTAGGAGAACAGATGAGATTGACTGGACACGCTGCGTCAGAATCTGCACTGACGGGCCAAAATCAATGACGGGGAAGCAAACAGGGCTTATAGCTCGCAGCAGGAAAGTCTGTCCATCCATTCTCTGGTTCTCTGCAGTGTTCACAGGGAGGCCCTCACAGGCCAAACCCTGATCCACACTCACAACTTAATCATGCTGTTAAACTTCATTATAGCGCGCCGGCTAAATTCAGTTAACATTGGGTCCAGCAAACACCCAGCAGACCGCTGTCCGGTCCCATTGCCTATTTTATTTGACTTTTGTCACATCATTTGCATGCTTAACCAACACCAGATACATAAGTAAGGATACAAGATACTTATTTCAATCTAAACCAAGATCTTTTCCTAAACCTAATCAAGCCCCGATGGTTAGTTTGATTTTGGGATAGATGCAGTTTGGCCTATCTAAGGCGTTATAATGGTCGGTTTACCTTCGGTAGTCCCTTGATCAGAATATTCTACATGGGGGCGGGTTGGTTCTTTATGAAATATTACCACGACTTCCCACTCTTTAGCCTTGTCTTTCAGCCTTGTCCTTCTGTCTCTGCACGCTATATGATTGTAAAGCCTGTACATGTTAGAGCAGAGCTGTTTGATGGCACACTGTAGAACTTTTTGATCCTCCAGTGTTTCATGTAATGGATTTTTGTTTTTCCTCCGGTGTGTCGCACGCTTGCAGCCCCTCTGATCACTCGCCGTAGTGTCAGATGTATATTCAAAAGGCACTTTTGAGGTATTTTTTGGGGAGTGGCTGATCACAGTCCAGAGTATGTATGTGAGAGGAAGAGGAGGAGACATCCTAGGTCATTTATCCGACAGCCATTCACCACAGCAGCTCTCCGCCCTCCTCACGGTAGACTGGCTGCCCCTCCTCTTTCCCCCCACGCCTCCCCTCCTCGGTCCAAAGTTATCCAGGCACACTCGGCGTTGGGCTGAGCGAGGGGAGCTCCGCGTGGGGACCCGTGCCATGGCTCTGATGCTGGACAGCGCTCTGTGCTGCCTGATCCGCCGCAGGGGCAAAAGGAGGAGGAAGAAACGCTCCGAACGCAGAGGTACTCCTACGTACTGCTCTGCTGTGCGTGTGTGTGTGTGTGCGCGTGTGTGAGAGAGAGAGAAGAAGATATTGAGTCTGGAGCAGCGCTGCTGTTGGGAGGCTTTGTGTTAGATTAGCTGGTGTTCATGATGTTTGGCATCATGGTGGGACGTCATCACTTACGGATTATATGTATTTCTATTTATTTTTGCTCTATGGAAATCAACTTTATTTTGGAAATAGCACTAACGTTTTTAAAAAAGAACTTAATGTCCTGGAGGTCTGAACATCAAAATAAAGTAAAGTATATAAAAGATAAAAAAATAACAATAATTTCTTGATATGATGTAAATAAAAAAATACTGACTACTGAATGGAAATCTCCTGAAGAGATTCCTTTATTTTAAAACCAGACAGATACTAGATTTTTGAGACAATATTAATGTTTTCAAGTTAAAATGAAGATAACATTGACATGAGGTCAATATTCTGAATACAACCAAAGTGTCTCTGCCTGCTTTGATTGGACATTTGGAAATAAAATGACACGTTATGTCTTACGTAGGGCCAAAGCAATGTGAAACACTTGATGAGTTCAATATTTAATTCATCATAATCATTGATAATAAACAGATTCCGATCATTGTAGAGCCTGTTTATACTCGGAGTACTTTCTATGTCACAGTAACATTCAGTGATGAATAGTTAGCGCTTCAACGCTCACCGTTAAAGGAAAGCAATGTCTGAGCTCAACGTTTATATTATTGTCTTCTGAGACTAAACTAAAAATGATTAGTCGTGAAAACAGGACACATCATAGGAGTTATGTTTCTGCTCCGAAACTCCTGGAATGAAGGTACCTTAAAAGGTCCAGTGTTGGAAACTGCAGTGCACCCTTGGAACTTAAACCAAGTGCCAGAGAAGGCTCAGTGAGGGGGAGTTAGAAATGTCTCATGAATAGAACTTTATGTAACTCCTAAAGCATAATTACAAGAGATTAGATTATCTTTTATGAATCTATATCTGTGCCTTTTATTGACAGATCATCATCATTTTACCCAAAGGAAGTATATTTTTGGGATATCCACCTACTTGTGTGGATTTTTGTGAGTCTAAAAATACAGAGAGCATGTGACTCACTTCATGTAGCATTGTTCCATGCACAAAAAGACGTGAAAAGATCCATGATTTAACGTCCTGCTGCACGCTGTCTGAGGAATATCGTGTATCTGTGTCAGTCCACAGAAACCTGAAGGCAGCAGGTTGAGTGATGATGCTACTTTCAACTGAAAGACACACGCTACCAGCATCAGAACCCTCTGTGACGTCCACTCAGTTTGATACACAATTCACAGCTCAACTCAGACATGACAACTAGCCTGGCCACAGAGCAGCAGCTGACCGCCCAGGCAAAGAGATCAAACCAGAGGAGGGATTCTGATCAGAACAGACGGGATGGACACGTGAAATGTGAGGCATCACCCTGGAAACTAGTGGATCGCCCAAAAGATCTCAATTTACCGGGCGGCCCACGTTCTGACCTGACCTATGGTCAGTAACTCTGGGACATAACTGAATGAAGGAGGTCGCGGATACAAACGGCCAACATGAGTTTCCTTCGTACGGTGGCCGGGTTCAGCCGTAGAGAAAGGGTAAGGAGCTCGGACATTAGGAGGGAACTTGGAGTTGAGGCGGTACTCCTTCGTGTGAAGACCCAGGATGTGCCGGAGGAATTATATCTCACAGCTGGGCTGGGAAGACCTCGGGGTTCCCCAGAGCGAGCTGGAAAATGTTGCGGGTTAGAGGGAAGTCTGGGTCGACCTGCCA